TTCACACCTTGACATTCGATTGTGTAACAGCCCGGTGTTCCGCGTTTCCAATTGCATTAGTTGAATTGCCTCAAATAAATGTCATGTAAAGGTGAACTACAGACAATGATTCTGCTGAGTTGTTGTGACTGAAAGTGTGCCCAAAGTTTTGCTAAAGTTCACTTCAAATAATTAATTTGAAGTTTTTTTTCGTTTTAGGCTATTTCTCATCGCCACGGTTCTCATCGTCACCTTCGTGGCGAATTTTATTTCTAACTTATTTCAACTTTTTGTAAATAAAAATTGTAGCGCTTGATGTGAAGATTATATTCTCAGTAAATCAGTCAAATAGTGAGTCTCGTTTGGAAGCTTTAACGTTTTAAATTTTTTGATGCCACGAAAGTGATTCTGTACTTCACAGCAATATTTTTTTCAAACTTTACTACTGTAAATGACTCTTAAATGTTTATAAAACATATATTTTGTCTTATTTTCATAGATAAATAGCAATAACAATATAAATTACCTACTTAAATACAAGATAAAATTTTACCGATTACGTCACCTACTAAGTTACAAGATTCTACGCAATTGGTTTTAAGGATGACACTGGTGGCATTCTGAAATGCTAAAGAAGCAAAAAACGGATTATCAGTACCTCAATAAAAAAGAACTCTAACTGATTATCAGTCCCTCAACAAAAATATATTTTTTATTTAGGCCAGAGGGCCTCGTATTTTTGTTGTACAACTTTTAACTCAAACTTCAGATTAAATTTATCTTACAAACAGATACACACACAGTCACATATACAGACATACATACAGTCACACAGACAGACAGACAACAAAAATACGAGGCCCTTATTTATTTATTGATGTACTGATCTCTACTTACCACGTATAATTTATTAGTTATTAAAATATTGTAAAAACATAAACACCAGTCACTATATTTTAAAATAAACCAAAGCAAGAAATCACTTTCGTGGCCTAAAATCACCTTCGTGTATAAAACACCACGAAGGTGATGCCACGAAGGTGACGAAAATTTTAGTTTTTTATGAATTATCCTTAAATTTGAATTTAACGGTTCAAGTTGAATACTACACAAATAAGTCTAACATGTTAAGTTTTCAATGGCAAAGTTTCAATTAAATTGTTTAAATTTTAGAGGTAGAAAATATTGTTCAAGCAAGCGACGGTATGTCTATGGATAATCACAAAAAGTTACGTATTTTTTTCGCGGAGCGACGATCGACCTATCTCACCTCCCCAATGGTCGAAGCGCGACTGACGTTAACCGAATAGAACGCTGTGATTGGTTGCTGGTGTTCGGTTTAACGGCAATCTTGTATTATTACTCAAAATTTTAGGTACCTAAAATCGTGTGACCAACGTATTTCGCTTTCTCAATTCAAAATAATTATAAGAAGATATTTTTTTGACTATTGTGTGGAAAGTATATTTAATTACGATGATTTTAGTATATGCTACACACAAATTGAATGAAAATTGTGAATGCAGTAACCAAATGTTTCATTGCAACCGAAGGTGTGACACGATGAGAACGCGAAAAATGACCCCGTTTTTTATCGTTTCATGTGATTTTTTCGTATTATTTTTGCTTCTATTACGATAAAATTTATTTTGTGTGTAGCTAAATAGATATTTTATCATCTGATTTCAAAGTTATTGTTCTAACTTATACCGTTTATGAACTATTATTGTGTGACCATCAAATTTGAGTGTAAATGAGAAGTACCCTTTAATTAAATTCTTGATGTTTGCCTTCGCTTATAGGGTTTTATTGTCGCTCAAACTAGATCTGGGCTTCACAAAAGCTGCTGCAGTAAGTACGAGATGTGGGAATAGTCCCGTAACATTATTACTTAGTAACTACTAAGTTACTTAGGCCTAGAACAGACGGTGAAACGCAACTGCAACGAAACTGCAACTGCTAGTTACTTTTGAGTTTTAGACTAAGTTTCTGCCATAGCGTCCCGTTGAGAGACCACACATGACGCGACCAGTTTGAAAGTTTCAGTTTCATTCATCAGAATTATCAGAAAGTTGCAGTTTCGTTGCAGTTGCGTTTCACCGTCTGTTCTGGGCCTTAGTAAAATGTGAAACAGTTTGTCGGCAGCAGTTCTAGTGGATCATTAGCCTCTAAACAAAACATTAATACAGTCAAGCATATAGTTAATCATCATGCATGTATTAAAGTTTATTTTTTACTTTAATCTTTTTCTTCTTCAACTCCGTTAACCAAAATAGACACTGAGCAAAATAAACAACCTATTAAAAGTAAAACACAACAATCTTAACGTACAAAGTGGCACAAAAAGGCAAAGAGTGGCCGATGTTGAACTTGACCCCGATTTGCTACGCGGACGACTAAAAAGACGTATCTACAAAGAAATAGCATTGCTTGATGTGGCATGTAAAATCACTAACATTATTATCGCTATGAATAATAAGTAAGATTTTTTTTATTTATCTATCTACCAGGTGTCATAATTAACTTAGGTCTTATTACAATGCTGGACCACTGAACCCATCATAGGTGAGTATTAATAATTTATTAGTAGATAGGATTAACGTAACAAACTCCTGGTGGGTCCATGTAAAAGTACCAACTCTTTAATTGAACTTATAAGTGAAATATGAACTTAATAATTTTTGCTCATCATTTTTGTAATCTTCTTTTATGGGGTCACGGTTACAACTACTGTGACAGCAGGTAACGGTGTCAGAAACAGGTGCTGAAAATATTACCTTTTTTATTTGTTATAGCAAAAGCAAAGAAAAAAACGATGACTCCTGCAGCAGTATAAAACTGTGTCGCAGAGATCAACACCCTCCTCCATACTACATAATATTTACACTGAAAAATACAGACCATTCCAGCACATGTAACTTTATATCCGTGAACTGATTGGGATGCGCACGAGTTGCATAACTTGACGCCGTAATCGTTAGATGTACTCGTAATTTCCGTAAATTTACTTATAGTAAACGACGTTGGTATATAAACAAGTTTAATTTGCATTAATTTATTTTGCTTGATCTACTTACATACATAATGTCGGGCAGTATAAGCCTATCTAATGAAGGTAAAGTAGGGCGATTGATAGAAGATGCGAATTGGTTTATTGAATCGTTGTTTGTACGCTAATAGAGACTGAAGAGTATAATCATAAAGATTAACTGACATTGAAACCCCACATAAAATAAATTACTGAATTAAAATTAGTTCAAAATTACAACTAAATGGAAAAATTTAGCCCCATCCTTCCAAGCTCGGATAATATCAATTCATTTGTTTTGGCAACTCTATCATGAAGTAAATAACTGTGTATTTTGAAGCAAATAAGTTATTTTTCTTTCTTTCTAGGATGCTCACTTGGAATGCTATATGTAAATAGTCGTTTAATAGATAAGGTAAGTGAAATATAATTTGATGCATGCCTATTTCAGAACACCTGGCTTCTCCGAAAGAAGGGCTAGATAAATTAATTAATCCCACGCAAGTTTCCCAATCATGTCATCTCGCAATGTCCGTAGTTCGATTTAATTATGTAAAATGTAACAGAGATAATGCTTGCTTAACCATACAGCCTAGAGAATGGAACCTGATCGCAGATGTGTGTCAGTAAGTGTATTGAAACATGTCCTACAATGTTGTCTAAACTAGGCACTAGTTGTTGAACAGAAATTTATTGAAATCAGATAAGTACTTTCAGATGCACGCACATTAATTATACTTTCAAAATTTGAACTTAATGGACGTTTCGTCGAGCAACAAAGAAAATTAAAAATATACCTAGACCTACACATTTAATCACTTTAAAATAAGCTTAAATAATAAAATAATTTGTATTCACTTCACTAATAAATACTGAGTACTTATTGATACATGCAACATGCAATTAATTGCTATGAATATAAGTTATACTATTACGAATGCGTATTCGTATAGTAGCTAATATTGACATTAATGTGTTAATAATAAATAATAAAATAGATAACTTTTGATGTTATGAAATAATAATAACTTATAATATCTATTAAACGTAACAATTGCAACACTAAACATACTCTAAATTATAAATTATGTAGGAAATAGAGGGTGTGTTTTGTATGGATTACTAATGTTTGGCCAAAAAACGTTTCCCAAATTATCACATCGCAAACAACGTTTCGCAAATTTTCATTTGGCAAATTCTCATTTGGCAAAACAACTTATTGCAAACTTTTAATTCGCAAATGTCGTTTTTGGTATATTGTTGTTTAGCAAATTATTGTTTGGCAAAGTATGTTTTGCCAAATGTTTCATTTGGCAAAAATATTTCACGATAAACTATTTACAAAATAATTTTATTGGTGCATAGAATAGAATACAAATGAGCTTGTGGTTATTATTTTATTTAGTGGGTAGTTAAAATTTTTTTTTTTTATTAATTTTCATATTTAATTTTCATTCTTTTTATCGAAATTTCCAAATGATTCATTAACAATAGAGGTGATTCTAGCGCTCGGCGGCCGCTGCCGCGGCACGCTCACTTCGCTCGCTTCACTCGCTCCGTTCGCTCGCCTTCGCGCGTTAAGGGTCACTGTTCTAACCGAACCTACTATTTTCTGCAATACCTACTTTCTGCAACCATACTATTTTCTGCAATCTCTTTGTTTTACATAAACTTCTTGTGAAAACCACGATCGTGGCTTATGCTTTGATTTGTGGGTAACGGTGGGTAAGTAGGTGAAGTGTCAATTTGACCAAACAAATTATTTGGGATATAATTTTTGGCAAAATAAAACATTTGCTGTATAAACATTTGCCAAGTAAAATTTGGCCAAATGATAATTTGACCAAATGAATTAGTTGCGAAAAGTACAGTTGCTAAAAGTTTATTTGGGAAATGAAACTTTGGCGATAAGTTGTTTGCGAAGTGAAATTTGGCGAAAAGTAATTTGGCCAAACGGAAGGATACCGTTTTGTATGTAACAAACTGCCTAACAATGCATGATTTAATATCAACATGTTAGTAAACTAGCTAATCATAGTGTTCAACATGTTGTGATCAGCACTATGATCAACACTTTCACTTAGACAAGTGACGTAAAGTGTGAAGTTTCCTGAGATTGAAACTCGATGCTTAACCGAGTTATCGTATGGCATTATAAAAGAAAGTAGTTGTTACTGTAAGATGTTATCGTAAAATATTAGAAATTGAAATAACCTTATTGTTGTAATAAACTGAAGCATTTTATTATACCACAGAATAATAATAAGTACTACGTACAGAAGTTTTACTTCGCGAAGGTATTTAAAAAAATGTATGCTCAATGTCATTAACAATATGATGTAATTTAGCCTGTCTCAAGAGTCAAGCACCATTTTGATGACAAACGTCAGTGATCGGCACTGCGCCGAAGCTATAGGGCTGACTTCGGTAAAATGATGTGACGTGAGGTGCCAAACTGCGGAAAATGGCGGAGGAAATACATGATTTAGCATGAATTATCATGAATAATATTAACTACTTATTTACCTCTCAGTGTCTTGAGGCAACTTAAAAAAGTACATTCTGTGTTTTATAATTATTTAGGCAGTTAAATACTGCACAGTATTTAGAACACCATTTTCTTTATTTTCTTCCATCATACACAAGAATAGGCGTGCGTGAGTCAATGTTCGCTCGTATGTGAGGCCTTGTCGAATAGTATCCTGTAGGTGGGCCATCGTGCGTGTTTTGTTTTCGATGTAAACTCGCGGAGATGATCAGGCCTGATTATACTACTAAACTAGCGCAAACTGTATATCAGGAGACTTCCCAATAAGAATACCAACATGTTATGTAGAACATGGACACATGCGGAGTAGATAGGTGCCATTCTGGTTCTATAAATTTTATTCTATGAGATATCTGAATTATTGTGTTACTGTGTTTGAACCAAATAAATTAATATTTTTCTTTCTTTTTCTATACTATTCAGTTCGTATATTACACGTATCAAAAATTTCGTTAAGATCTTGTCACTTTTTACTTGAGAAGCCCTGGATTGTTATAATTTTAACTGTTGGATTATAGTAATTTTAAGACCACAATAAAAAAAATGTCTGCCACAGTACAAATGTATCTCTATCGCTTCTCTTTCTCTACACTGTTGCCTTTACCGACTAATTAAATTAAGGCTGTCGTAGCCTACATCTAATTTAGTCGAAGGCAGATCTTTTTACAGAACTGTCTGTAAAAAGTTCAGTGAACATTCTAGATAAGAATGAAGTTAAAAGCCAATTTTATAATAGTGATACTTGTTTCGTTGCTGAGTTACGTGAAATTTGGTAAGTGAAACCGATACATTGTAGTCAACCAAGAATTGACATCTTACGTTCTTACTCTAACCCAAGGTTGCGCCATCTTAATTTTACTATAACAAACGTCAAAAATCTGTCAAACTCCATACAAAAACACCGGTTAAAGTTATAGTTACAGTTAAAGTTAAGGGTTAGAGGGATAAACGGCAAAGGTCTGTAAAACTCCATACAAAAACACCGGTTAAAGTTATAGTCACAGTTAGTGTTAAGGGTTAAAGTGATGAAACCCAGCCTAACTATTGCGTAGCCATATGAATCTTTACTCAAATCTCGAAAATTCGGGTTTATAAGTTTTAATAGAGCTTCTTTACAATACAAGAACTTTAGTTTTGAAGAAACTATTTCATTCGAGTTGTGTGCAGAACCGGTATTTTTAGTCAGACCATTATTTAGTAATAACTTTAATAAGAAATATACACAAACGTGACTGATTATTATTTCTATTGAATTAGTAACGTTAATCAAATGTTACTTCCTAATAACAATTAGCACTGCTACTTCTAATGTATCTAATGATCTAAGAGTCGTCAGTAGTTTTATATTTCAATAAAAAGTTTTATTTCCATTTCGTTCCAATTACTTGTAAAGAAAATCCCGTTACCAACCGGACGGCGTGGAAATCATTGAGGGAAGCCTATGTACTAGTTGACGACCTGTAGTTAAAATGATAATAATGATGATGATGCATGATGAAAAAAGTGTTTCATTAGTTCAAATTCTGCCCAGTAACGATCGCTTTGTGAAAATGCTATTTTTATTTATTTTCACGTGTAATTATCATCAGTTTCATGTGGTTAACCTACAATAAAGAGGATAATACATTTATCTTTCTCTTTCTCTTACTATCTTGGTAACATTAACTAGGATTTGATTTCTGAGAGTTGTCGTTCAGATTCTAATAAACATTTAATTTTATTGTTAAACAACACTCTTGCTGGCCTAATTTTCATTTCCAAATAGGTCAAATGTTCTATACCGGCGCATGTGAAGCCTTACATATTACACGAATTGGATTACTCTGCCACGACTCACTAAACTTGACACTGTTTAGTGTCTTTACCTTCTTTGTAGGGACGTGATTGTTTGTATGCTTTAAATCAAAGTTGTGACGTGATATTATTTAGCACTAATAAAATATGTATTGACCGACAGTAAAAAGAGTGAGAGACAGACAGGTTAATCATAATTTTGTATCATCTTGCTTCTTAATATTTCTACGATTTCGTTTCCAGCTTCATCCATCTTCTGCTATGACTGCAACAGCGCCTTCGACCCTCGATGCGGGGAGGAGTTCGACCCCTTCAGCCTGGGGGTCGTCAACTGCTCCCTGAGGGACCCCCCGGAACACATCCCAGACGTGGAGTCTACGCTGTGCCGCACAATCAAGATGGAAAGTAAGTTCTTGTCACTACTATGTCATGAAAGTAGGTCTTCGTGTTCTAACCGCCTCTGTGGTTTGGTAAGACCTGGCTTTGGTCCCGAAGGTCCCGGATTCGATTCCCAGTGAGGGCAGAATTTTACGCTCGGTTTGGTTGGTGACGTTCTAAGTCCCCCTGGCTAGCTACCATCATCTTACCGAAGTTTATCACCATAACAATTATTGGGCAAATATTAGGTAGTTGTGTTCCGGCAGTTGGAGGTAAGATGGCCAGTTAGGTTGAGGGTTCCGGGTGAAGCTCGCTTCCATCTTCGGCCTGATCATCACTTTCCATCAGGTGAGGTGTATGTCAAGAGCTTATTGAGATACTTGAAATGCTTGAGGTGGACCGCTCATGTCCAAGCGTGCTCTTTGGTTAATTATTGCGTGTGTCGCAGTCACTCAAAAACTCTTTGACCACATTAGCCGCATCATTGGTCTAGTGGCTTAAGAGCAGAAATCCTTCAGTCGAAAGTCCCACGGTTCATTTCCTAAATGTTGAAAAAGCAGCTTGAATAATTGTTTGAAAATGAAACCAATGCTAAGCAAGTGCCGTCAATAACACCAGTCTGACCATATTCCTTTTTCATTTCCAGTCCACGGCAAAGTGCGGGTAGTCCGCACATGTGGGTACCTAACCGACGAGCCGAGCGAGAAGCCCTGCCGGCGCCAGACAGGGACGGGAGATCTGTTCGTGACGTACTGCTCTTGCACCACCGACCTGTGCAATGCGGCGCCCGCGCACGGCGTACATGCGACTATTGGTTTGGTGGTGTTGTGCACTTTGTTTAGAGCTTTTTAGATGTAGTTTGTTGTTGAGATTAAATGTGTTGATAGTTTATATGGTTTTGTTTATTAGATATTATCCGTTTTTCCTATTGCAATACAAATAAGGTAGATTTGGTATGATAACGTACCTACCTAAGAGCAATTGGTTCCATATAAAACACTTCACAAACATAGTTAACTCTTCAGAGAGTTATTACAACTCATTATTGTCGATGTGAACTGCATACCTACACCAAATTTTTGCGGTCATATCACGTGTGCTGTGCAAGGTGCTTACTGCTTAATCTACTTAAATTTTATTATACCATCTGTATTTACCATGCGACAAGCAAATAAATAAATAAATTTTATGAGACGGTCACCTGGTTACAATGACGCCAGCAAAGGTTGCGGATTCGAATCCCACTAGGGGCACATTTTATGAGCACAAGTACCTATGTTCAATTACGAGTATTTCAATTATTTTTTACAAATACTCCGTAGTAGAAACTTTGCTTAGTTGGGAACTAACTTACTACTAAACAAACAGTACGCCCGTATTCACAAACGATGCTTGCTTAAGTGAAGCATCAAATCGAACGCACAGCGTTGAATAGTGCTCTGTGATTGGTTCGCGTGTCACCCTGTGCGTCCACACGCACTGTGAGACCTTATATGTAGTATTGTTTTTAAATTTAAAGCCACGATAGTCGAACGGCGAAGGGATCGGACTGGCCGACTCGTGATCCGGGGAACGCGGGTTCGGTCCCCGCCGCCGCTTGACTATTGTGAATAATATTAGTCGGCCGTTTGGTGTAGTGGTTCAGAACGGACTACTATGCCGAGAGGTCCCGGGTTCGATTCCCGGTCGGGCAGAAATTGAAATGATGAATTTTAATTTCTGTGACGGGTCTGGGTGTTGTCTATGTATAATAAGTATGTATTTACAAAAAAAAAGTATTTAAGTATGTTTATATCCGTTGTCTAGTACCCATAGTACAAGCTTTGCTTAGTTTGGGACTAGCGGCGCAGTGTAAAAATGTCCAAGGATATTTATTATTATTATTTATTATTATGTTACGAGCGTTATGAGCTAGGTACTCACCAGGGTTAGCTCCATCTCTGAACACCTTGGGCTGGTTCCTGTACGCCAGGAAGTACTCGATGTGCGCCATCTCGTGGTGGGCCGTCACCAGGTCCTTCATGTCCACGTGGGTGCACATCTTGATGCTAGAAGTGAGGAGAAAAGATCTTAAAATCTTGCAATGTGCAAAAATAGACTAAATATCTATCACGATATACCCACCTCACCTCCAAAAAGTAACCAAATAAATACAGCCGTTAATAATTTGCTTTGAGTGAATAATGATAAACTAATAGGTATAATGGACAATACCTAAGTTACTTTTACTTGAAAACGTAAGCAATTAAACTACCATGGGAACATTTTCAAATAAATTTTCTGTTGATAAATTGATGGCGCGAGCCACGAGCGACACGACTTTGACACAACGCAAACCTGACGTTTCACAATGACGTCTGTCATTTATAAGTTTACAGCTTTGGGCCTCGGCCCATTGGCCGCACATTTTATTTTCCTCAAAATAAGTCCACAATGTTTATCGCGTGGCTTGCGTAGTTGCGTCTATTAATATGTATGTATCCCAGTTACTGCTAACTACCGTCAACTTAAATAAAAGAGAGAGAGAGCTAGAGAAAGGAACAGAGAGAGTACCAAATAAATATTGGGTCATTTATTTAATTGTCCCAAAGCAGTGGCAGGGTTAATACTGGGACCACAGCTGGGACGTGTAAAAGTGCTTTCGAAAAGCCGATTTGCAAAAATAAATGAGTTTTTATATTTTTCTTTCTTTCTAAATAGAACATACCGGTAGTCGTGCTTATTGCAGAAGTCCCAGGCAGACGGCTGGCAGTGCACATGCCTGTCTGCCGGCTGGTCCAGCACACTGAGCGCCCAGAAGTCTGGAGGCATGCCCGACATGTTCATAGACACGAAGAACTCCTCCGCTAGCTGGAAGACCGTGAGGGGGGTGTAGCCCTGGAAGGAAAAATTAACGAGTTCATAATTAAGTCAGCCATAAATCATAAAATATCTTGGTCATTTGAAATAATTATACTATTCGCAATAAACCACCCAATTACTACTTTTTACGCACTACTACTATTATTCGTCTTCTAGTCTCTTTCACTGTGTATCACCAGCATACATAGGTACTTAAAGTACCCGCCCCATTCTTTTCCTTAAATTAAAAAATTGGAATCTCCACGCGAAGAACCTGAGCTCAATTTAATATTGCTAAAGAATTACGATTCCTAGTTTTCCAGCCATGCCAAACTATGACAGCTATAAAGATCTAACACCATCGCAGTTGTACTAAACTACCTATACCATATAAATTAACTACGTAGCTGGTCACGCCTCATTCAAAAGTAAGTGACCGCATTCAAAGTAAACTCTTTACCTGCTGTGCCATTTCTGGAGTCACATCGACCAAGGTCTTCCCAGGGTACGGCAGGGTGAAGGGCACGATACCCGACCAGCTCTGTCCCCACATGCCTCCGAACACATGGGCCGGGGGCTGACCGGGATATCCTCTCGGGGCCGTAGGACTAACTACAAGCTAACTACACTAGCCACAATTAAAAATTACATTCTTACCTGTTGAGCCATCTCAGGTGTCACATCAACCAAAGTCTTCCCAGGGTACGGCAGGGTGAATGGCACGATACCCGACCAGCTCTGTCCCCACATGTCTCCGAGCACATGAGCCGGGATGGGCGCGGACCTGGATATCCTCTCGGGGCCGTAGGACTCGCGCAAGCGTCTGCGCACGTAGGCATGGAGGAGCTCGTATAGTGGTTTCACCTGGAAAATTGAGTATTTTCATTAGGGCTTCGTACAATTTGTACTTAAAGGTAGGGAAAGCAAAAGATATTTGCAACGAACATACATAAATTTCAAAATAGGTGATCAATCAATTTGAATAATAAATTAATGAACGATAGATGATATTAATACCACCCCGATCCCCTCAGTAAAGATATCACACTTAAATGAAAACTCACGATGACTTTTATTTCTACACTCATGCACGATCACGACACTTAGTCTTCATGGTTAATAAATCCATGATTACTACAACTTTTTTTTTCGGAAAACCAACAGCAATACAATACAAATAATGGGACCTTAAATTACATATGTATCTGCTTAGCCATTTATAGGTAATCGCAAATGGATCATTTTAATATAAACTATTTTAAACACAACTACTCGTAGTAAAAAATAGAACGAAACTACTAAACATGACACTTTGTTAACAAGCTGGTGTAAAAAAATAAACTACCTTCCTACGCAAATAAAACAATTTTATTACCTGTTCCCAAACCTCTTCAACGTCTTGTCTCATGTTGACAGTTTCATAAGGGAACATCCAATAGGCTGAAGCATCAGTGAAATCTGAAAATTAAAGTAAAACAAAATCAAATAACTTATTTAATTTTGAGAACATAATAGAGTACTCCTTATAAAATGCTAACAGCAATGTTGTTGGAAGTTCAAAATTGTATAATAATAAACACGTAGGCGTATAGAAAAAGATTCTGTGTGTGAGAAAATCTCATTTCATGGATCCAGATTGGATGCATCAATGAAGCTAGTTCGTTGATCTATTAGGTTAGATTCAGATTTAGGTATTGCAGGTAAAATTTCAGCCTTTATAACGAAGAAAAGTCCAATAACACTTACTATTCAACCTAGCCGCTTGATTAGTCAAGTCCACCAGCTGTTCGTACAGATCCCGGATCCTTCTCCCGGTGTTCCTTCTCCACTCGGTCCAGACGTGCTGCAGCTCGTCCCAGTCCCTGGAGTGGGACATGAGGAACTGTAGCTCGGGCTGGAGGTGAAGCCCACACTTGAAGGGCTCGTTGTATGCGCAGATCTCGGCTGTGTTGTACACTGCTAGCATGTCGTTGATGAGGCGGTTGTACTGGAATGAGGTGATGGAATTGTAAGTTATAATGATGACCTTGTTTGCTAATGGAAATAAACGGTTTTACTACATAAAATGGCAGGTGAGAAAACCTTGTTTTTTAGAGTGATATCGGAAAAAGAAAATATATTTTATTTGCTAATTTTGGACAGATATACATGAGTATGAAATTATGAGCTTATTTTAATAACTGAGCACATACAATCAAATAGCATTCATTCAACTATTATTACTCTACTTTAGAGCGACAATAACCCAATTATGTCAGTGCCCAAGTGCCAATTCGAGGGTCGGTAGTTTGATCCCAATCGTGCGTTGGCCTATTGTGGTTAACCCACCTCTTCTACCACATTTCGAGCGACACACTCTTCCAGTCCAGCTGATATCACTCTACTCACCCTGTCCAACTGGTCCGGCGGCAAAGCAGAGGGTCCGATGATGGACAGGAGCCGCAGCTGCCTGAAGGTGGAATAGTCCCTGATGGCTCCTCTGGGCATCTGCTGCGCAGCCTCCCATAATCCTCGCTGGAAGAGTGTGTAGCGCTGCTGGGCGTCCAGCTGAAAACAAAAGAGTTGGTCAGTTTTTAACATTATCGAGGCATGAAATAGTAATACAAAGAGAAACTCATATGAAAATATCAAAAAATCAGCAAGCAGCAGTAATAGCCCAAAGTGACAGACTGCCGAATCTGAGGACAGTAATTAGGTAGTTAAATTACTGACCAATATTGTAGGGATAGTTGGAAAATGTATTCCTGTTAATTCCTAACCTAAGCTGTTAGCGGTGCCATGGCTACACCATAACGGTGATGCGAATCAAAACAACATGTTGGTACATGGTAAAACATGGGTCTTAATCTTCACTTCTCCCAGTGATTTCCAGATTTAAAAAGTTTATCAACCTAACTTACAAGCCTATGCTACAATGCTTTACGCGTTATGTGCCCTATAAAAAAGACAGAACAGAACCCTACAAAACCCTAATTTCAAGAAGATTTTAGACCTCTCTAACCACTAAACAT